CCTGGCGGGGGTTGGTGGTTGGACCGTGTGATTTCACTGTGCCCAAAGGGCCGAGTTCACACCCGAGCGCTTGTCCCTCCTTGGGCGGTGCCGTTACTCACTGACGTCACTCGTCAACAGCTGCAAGTGGCAGCGCCTCCCGGTGCCTGTGCTGGTGGCGGCGGCTCCGCGCCCCTTTCCCGGGCCGCTGTCGCCGCCTAGCGGCGCGGGCGTTGCTGCTCGTGGGCCTGGCGCGCGTGGGTTGTGTCCGTTACGCCTTTTCGTAACCTGGCGAAATACTTTTGTTGAACTTGGGCCATGGCTAAGCGTTTCACATCTATTTGGAAATTTCAGAGCTATCTTGCTATTTGATGTTTTAGAAAGATAAAATGTTTAACTTTTCTTCATTGACCATGCACATTTTTTTTCCAAATTATATTATTTCATTTTTACAATGTGGCCCTGTGGTCATGCTTTAGCACTTCAAATCCATATTAATGTGAAAAATGTGTGAAAAGTTTCCTCACGGACTAGCAGGCTAGAAGAACTTTCTATCTAGAATAAGACTCAATTTTAACTTTCGATATGAAGAAAAACTGCATTTGCAAAATATTTTAAACAGAGAAACAACATTTGGGGCACATAGTGCCAGCAAGAGTAATTAGTTCTATATATATATATATATACACACATATGTATGATTCTTATTTTTCTTCTGGTTTTAGGCAAGTGAGGTTTGTTACATTGTCTCTTACGCCTTACCCCAAAACGGGCACAAAGTTAAATGACAGCATAGGAGGATTTAGTAGAGCCAGAAAAAAAGTAAATTGTTATTCAACCATATCAGTTTGTAGTAGAGGCTTATATTTCCAGTATTGTATTCTGTTTACTTTAAAGAAGAAATTGAGGTCATATCTAAACTTAATAGTACATGACAATCACAATGGAATACAGGGGCCTATGTAGTTTCCCAAAAGTCAGATTTAATAGGTTTGCCTTGTTTGTATTTTCCAACTAGAGTAACCATTTTTTTCAGTAGTGGATTTATTCAAAATTTTAGAGAATAAGCATCAAGTGCAGATGCAAACTGAGGTTCAATGTGCCTTATACAATTATATGCATAATTATATAATTATATATTTATACTTGCACAATATAATTATGAGAATAATCAGCATAAATCTACATTTCAGTTTTAAGTAAAACACACTATGAAGAAGTTCAATATTGCATGCATTTTTTAAAAACACTTAAATCATATAGAAATTAAAGACTAGAAAACCTGGTAAAACAGTAATTTGCAGAATATGCAGTCGTTATTTTTGTTAGAGATACAAGTGGAGCATGGCATTTCAATTCCAGTTGTGTGTGAGAATGAAAATGAAAAATTCTTAAAATAATTTCCAAAAGATGATGAATTTGAGAAATTTAGCTTTAGGATAAAGTCCAGTCAATCCGAGTTCTAACTGATTGTTTTATATGTCTTGATGGTGCTTGTGGTGGATCTTGCCTTGTTGGAATAGCTCCAGGAGCCTGTGCCATTTCACTGCTTCATACCATGTTGGTTTAGGGCTTTTTTTTTTTCAATAACTCATAAAAAAATCCAAAGTTTTAAAGTATCTGTGTCACCTTTCCTTTTAATAATACTGTCTCAACATGTATTATTGATAAATGCTGGATTTCTGGATTAAATGTCTTAAAATGTCACGTGGAGCTTTTTTGATGGAATGAAAATGATTGGATGAAGATGAATTTTCTATGAAGTTGAGCTGTTGATGAAAAAGTTGTAAGACTGAGATGTACTGTACTTTCCAGACAAGAGTTTCTAATTCCCTGTTATTCTGTGATATTAGTCATCCACTTAAATCTCTATGCACCTGTTTGTCATCCAGTTTTACTTACGATTAAGAACATCATTTCAGGTGTTCCAGTTGAGTTTTAGGACACCTGAAGCAAAGCAATTATACAGTATAGATACACAGAACCTTCAAATAGGTTTTCCTCTGTATTAATAGCTAAATTATGTTTCAATCTATTTGTGCTTTTTGAGTCAGCAGTCAAAAGTGGCACCTAATCCTTTAGATGCATCATCATCTTGCTAAAAGCTGTTAAATTAAAGGTGTAATGAGGAACTCAAACTTACATATTTTTCTGCTTTTTTGCAATAACAGAAATTAGCTTAGACTTCATAAAATACATGGAAAAAATGTTCTCTTTATCCCACAAAAGAAGAAGCTGACATCATGATGAGTAAAATTCCCTCTTATTGCAGGGTTTCAATTTATTTTTTGTGAGAACATGGACACATGCCTAGCATTACACAAGTGAATTGTCTAATTGCAGGCCATGCACATGGAATTGGATGTGCTTAAGTCCTTATGGTTTGGAAGCATAATTCTGTAAAGCTTGAGTTTATTTGAATCAGCCAATTTTTATGGCAGAAGTTTACCAAAACCAGATTTTAAACTTTTAGAGTTAATTTACTCCCTTAAAAAAAAAGACAAAAGAAGTGCTAATTTCTCCTTTGAATTGGTTGTGCATAGAAGTGAAAAAATAACAAGTCATCTTGATAGGTATATAGTATGCTGAATATTATAATATTGTTTTTAATATTAAATTTTAAAATGCTGAAACTGATGAGGTGAGCCTCTCAGGATTTTATAGTTTTCTAATTCCTACTGCAATAAAGCGGTTGTAATTTTTTAAACTATCTTCTCATTAATTACATCTATTGCATAGTAAAAATTTGTATTAAAAAAAGAATAAAATCTTCCTAGAGAAACGTATAAAATTTCTTTATCCTCTTTAGACTTAATTCTTTCTTTGTAAGTACATAATGTGTTCTGTAAAATATCAACATTTAAGGTTTCTCTTAAGAATATCCTTGCTCTGTGAATGTTGGTGTTTTCAGATATCTGCTGAAAACTATTAAGAATTAATAGTTTTTTTGTGGTTGTGGTAAGAGAGTGCTGATCTGTTTTACAGACTGTTTGTATATTGTACATTGAGATAATACGGATAAAGACTGTTTTACAGTTCTGTGTTAATATTAAATACCAAATAAAAATTGTTTTAGTTTTTTGACAGCTGCATTAGTAAAAGATATTCTGGGTACACACAGAATGTTATCTGTAATGTGCAACTGTATAAATAATTCAAGTAAGACTTGTGACTGTTGAACTGTCTTGGATTCAGTCCAGTGACAGAGGTTCTGTCATGTTTATTGTCAGGCAGGCACAGCACTAACATGCTTTTTCTGACAAGGTGTTTACTTATGTATACCCATGACAGGGTACTGTCACAAAACATCCTCTAAGCTACTGCAAAGTCACAAACAAAAATAGTAATTTTGTCTTACTATTATGCAGTGATCAAAACAACTTGGTGTAAGTCTTCTCCACTATCACTCTGCACCTTGGTCCTCATCTGGGTGTTCATGTTCCATTCTTACCTTACTAGTACGTGGGCTTTCCCTTTTCGTAAACTTTTCTTTTTAATTCACTTAGAATTGCAAATCTTACATAATTCTCAACTTCATTAGTGCAACCAAATTTCTTTAAGCATTTTATTTGTTGCTCCCAGCATGTAAGAGTCTATAAGAAGTCACTGGTTTAGCAAAACCTTTTCAGCGTAAATATATAAAAATATATATGCATTGTATTTTGATCGATGCTCTCTTGAGAGCTGCACTATGCGCTGCACACAAAAGTTCATCTCTGATCAAGGTTTATTCTGCAATTGCTTTGCTTTATTTGTTTATTGTTTAGCTGTTTAAAACCTGGTGGAAAGGATTGTAACACCATTTCTAGGAGGCCTATTGCAGTACGTGTGACTGTAGTGTATGGCTGGTGTGTATTTTCTGGAAGTGACTGCTTTGGATGTTTTTGGAGCTTCCTTCCTATGCAAGTCTAATGGTATGCTCTGTTTACAATCTTTTAGGATAATATCTAGGATTCTGTGAATACCCAGGGTATAAAATAGCTACTCTAAAGGGCAGGTGGGCTTTCCAGGGAAAACTAAAAATAGATAAATAACAGAGTTCTAAAAAACAAACAAAAAAAAGGATAAGTGCATCTAAGAAGGATTCTCAGTGGTGCGAAATGATACACAACTGGCACTTTCTTGTAGCTTGTCACCAGCAGGAA